GGTGGTGGTTGGATAGCGTGGAGCCAGCACCGAGGCAGGGAGGTGGTCGTGGAGGGGCAGAGGGTGGCTGGTAGGTGGTTGGGTTTTTTTTTTTTTATTATTTTATTTGTTTTCAAAAAATAATTTAATTATTAAAAAAATAGAAAAACCTAACCCTAGTTAAAAAATTTAATTAAAATTATATCATAATGTTATAATTAATTTATTTTATGATTACCAAAGATAATTAGATTTTTTACTGTTTCCATTGAATGAAAAAAATAAAAAAAAATAAAAAATAAAATAAAAAAAGAACTTAAGAGCATCATTGAGAATTTCCCAAATTTTAATTGTGGTTTAATACGGAGTACAAATTTTTAGGGTGGTAAAAAAAACAAAACAATTTGGATTTTTGTAAGGCGAAATATATATATATATATATATACCTTGGTACTATTACAAAAAAAAAGTTGACAGTGTACCAAGTAACAATGGATTATCTATCCAGCCAATGAGTAAAAATAGACCTAGTAAACCTGACTCATTATCTATCCCTCGACTTTGAATATCCGACTTGTGTTTCAAACTCTACCTGAAGTCATCTATGACTCATACACAACCCAACCTGATAAATTATAATCAATGTCGTTTCAAATAATTGACAGTCTTATTAAAAAAAGCATGTTGATTATAAAATCGAAAATGCACCGACCCAGAACAAAGCCAAAATCCACATAAACCAGGCTTACCCAAAAAAGACTAGATTTGAATCCACGTGACTCGAATGACCGACCTTTCCCAAATGATCTGGTTGCTTGCCACCTCTAAGTAGAAGTACATACTAGTAAAGTTGTCAATTCGGGTATTTAAGTCGGGTTTGGCTCGGGTCAAATCAAGTCTCGGATTTGTTGAGGCAAATATTGTTCTTTGCCAAGAAGTCAAATACCCCATCTTGTTCTAGAGTATTAAGGGGATGCCCCTCTTGTTACCGATTTCAAAAGATTGATAACCTCGCTAACGTAACAAAACAAACAATAAAGAAGATTTCCAAAGAAATTAAACAACTTAGATTGCTTAAAGAAACGAGTAGAAAAATATATGACCTAACATGCAAGTTCTCTCCATTAATTAAAAGATAAAGTCAAGTGTACAATTGCAGAAGTTGAAGGAAAGGTTACCTCCATGTTCATGCAATTGAAAAGGACGATTGATCATCAATACATGCTAAAGAACTATACTATCGCTTGGCTACTAAGCCAAGGGAAAACTAAGAAAGCTAAGAAGAAAGGTTAAAGAAAATGAAATGCTTGTTGTCGATTGATTTGTTGATGTCTTTCTTCGGGTTTTCACTTCTATTTATAGACAATTTAGAGCGGTTTTCGCTGACTCTAGTAACTGTTGTGCAGTTACTCTTCTTGACGCCAACTGCTTTTGAAATCAGATTGTCTTGTTTTAACTCCAAACCGGTTTGTTCCTCTTCTGAGGCCTTTTGACTAAATCCAGCCCATTTCTCCTTACTTCCATCGTTTGACCAAAAACCCTTAATATAATTTTAAGGTCCATTCTCCTAGGTCAATAGGTCAAAGTCAAGAAAAGTAAAAAGTTTAAATTTTGGGTGTAACAGGGTCATATCATGTTCAGGTTATGTCGGCTTAGTCTAGCCTCAGATCAGATCTAGGTTCGGGTCAAGTTAATTTCGGTTTAGGTTATTTTGGGTCAATCACCCTTTCAAGTGTAGGTCGGGTTCGATTCGTGTCAAATTCAGTTCGAGTTCAATTTCAAGTTCGGGTTGTGTCGAGTTGGGTTTGGACGGAATAATAGTTGGTAAATTCGGGTTCGGGTTAGGGTTGGGTCAGATAATTATCATGTCATATAATCTTAAAGTTAGATCATTCTTGAGTTTGGTTCAAGTTCAAGTCGAATCAATATCGGTATGGTCAAGTTAAACTTATATAATTACGCCTTCCATAATTAATTTGCTCAAGCATTATTAAGATTTTATTAAACCTATATAATAGAGAACAAAAGGTATATAATCTAACATATTGTACTAATATGTTGTTAATTAAGCCAACATATTTGTATTTAATCTGATAGCACGTTGTTTGATAAGTGTACTTTTGCTCATGTTAAAAGATTTTGTAATACAGTGGCTCATCTAGTGGCAAGGTGGGAAACTGGTATTAACTTTGAGCTTGTTCGTTTGGGTCCTTTACCCCAAAACATTATTTCTTTGGCGGAATTGGATCTCGGTTCACCGGGCTGTTAGCCTACCAAGCACTTGCCTGCTGCTCTTGCCGCCCGCTTGGCGGGCGGAGTGTTATAATGTGGCTATCCTTACTTCCAAAAAAAAAAAAATATTGGTAAATGATCCGAACAAAAGGTGTATATGCTCTGAACAAACTGTACAATTCTACGATTTATCATTGTAAATAAATCTTAATTTATTTTGGCTAAACTTGTTTCGGGATATTGGGTAATAGCAGGTTCATTGCTTTTCAGTTTCATGTTAAATTAGTTTTAAGTCTGGTCGATGGCAAGTTGGTTAACAATGATGAGTCAAATAAAGTCAGGTTAGGGATCACCATGACTCGGGTCAATAATAGGGTGTGTCTGGTTATAACGGTTTTCGAGTTCTAATTGGCTCGGGTACTAGTTTGGGTTCGGATTGTTGTCGAGTCGGATTAAATCGGTTGACGGTTATTATCAGGTCGAGTGCAAGTTCGGGTTCAAGTCATAAGTATTGGATCAAATCGGTTGTCAGTTAGCATCAGGTCTGGTTACATGTCACTAGTTTCACCCAATTGTTTGGATACAGGCTAGGTTTAGATCATACCGGTCCAGATCAAATTCTCAGGTCGTGTCAATTTTTGACAGCTTTACGTACTAGTTCAGTAAGCGTACCAATGTTTGTAATTTAAAAGAGTTAAAGAATAATCCTTAAAGTTTGTAATTTAAAAGAGTTAAAGAATAATCCTTTGCTCCATGAATGCTCATATTTGTCAAATATTGGAAGATTTGGAACAGCTTTTTACACGCTGCCTTTATTTGACTCTGGTGGAGGATGACACTTGCGGGTAGATTGCAATTGGATAACTGATTGAACGATGAGAACTAGCTCCGCAAATTCTAACAAACCGTCACTTACATACTTACACATATACGGAGTATTATTTCTATATACACACGATGCATGCGAGTTAATTTTAAAAGTAGATGAAAATTATCATGGAATAAAGTGTAAAGTATGAATCAGTATAAGAAAATATAAATGCAATAAAAATTTACATTGTAGGTCTATTATAATTAAATGAGTTATGACAATAAAATAAAGTAATGATGAACTATTATCAACCTCTGAGTTGATAGAAAAAAAAATGTTCTATTACAATGGATTAAGCTATAACAACGATAAACTATTATCTATTATCCATTTTTAATTTATTATTAATACTTTTATTAATTTTGATTTTCATAAATATTGTCAAATCTCTGCTAGCTATTAGAGAAAAAGAAAGAGTTCTATTACAGTCAAATAAGTTATAGCACTAAAAATTAAGTAACGATAAACAACTAACTATCCATTTTGATTTACTAATACTTTCGTTAATTTTGATTTTCATATAAATGATACATGGTGTTCATACAAAACTAGTATGACAATGGAGTAAGTTAAAAACTAAAGTATGCAACTTTTGACTCGGATAACTTCTGAACTTGGGTAGCAGCAAATGATGTCATTCCCAACTACGAGGAAGAAAAATCTTTGAGGGAACTCCTCAATTTCACTTGAAATTTTGTTGTATGAAAGTCAATATCTTGCATATGTATTCGATCAATCCACTTCTAGTCACACAGTCAAACTCATGGGAATCATCCTTTTCTCTTACGAAGTACTTAAGAAGTATAAAGGAAAGTGAGAAATTTCTCGTGCTCTATTCCTTTCCAAACTAATTAAGGTTGATTAAGGCCCTATTGTTTTGGATTGAAATTTAGTGAACTAAAAGAAAACGATTTGATTTGAACTGAATTAAATTTCTATTAATTAATAAATAATAATAATAATAATAATACGAGTAATATTATTATAATTAAAAAAAAAAACCCTAGCCGCCTCCTCTCTATTTTTTCTCTCTAGGGTTCTTACAAAAAAAAAAAAAAAAAGTGTTTCATAAGCCAGAAATAGTCAAATTTCTCCAGAAATTTGGCTATTTCCAACCCTTTTTCTTTAGTTTCTTTATTTTTTTTGGTTACTGAATTCAATAAATCTACACTCTTTGAAGGTAGTAAGTACTAAGTACCCGTTTAGTCGTTTGAGTGTAGAAAGTGTCCCTATGGTGGGCTTTGTTCTAGTTTTGTTTTTGTTTTTGTTTTTTGAGTTTAGTATGGTACAAGTTGTTTCATGGGTAAAGATTTGTGCGGGATCGAAAAAGAGGTTAATCCTTCGATTACAATTAGATGAATCAAATGAAAATTTTCTTCACGACTGCAACAGATCGATAGACCCCCTCGTCGAAAAAGATTGTATATCTCAACGCACTACAACAAAATTAAGCAAAGATAACAATGAAAAACCATTGCCTAATATGAAAAAAGTGTTGCCTTGTAGCTAAGGCAACACATATGAGGCGTAGTTTATGCCCTCGTTGTCTATTCATAAGGCAACACATTTTAGTTCAAAGGCAACAATTTTAAAAGCCAGGGTATAATGATACCTAAGGCAACACTTTTACAAAGGCAACAAATGAAAATTGTTGCCACCTTAGGAGACAATTTGAAATTGTAACCTTATGTCATAATGTGCAACAACCTTTTCAGTCGATGTATTAGCTAGTAACAATACAAAAGTGTTGCCAAATATCTTAAGGCAACACCATTAAAGCGATTAAATATAAAATTTTAAATCAAATGAGCAAAGATGAATCAACATGTGAACTCAACCATACACAATAATCTGTTTAATAGGAAGCAGAACATCAATATATAAGAATTTTGATTTTATAACAAAATTCATGTGAACTCATTAATTAGAATCCAAAAAAACAATATCCAATAAAATTTTACTACACAATACTCATAAAAATCCTAAATAACTTGTAATTCATGATCTAAGCTGGTAAATTTCTAATAACACTAAATGTATACTTGTTATATCTAATTCAGTACATGGGGGAAGGAATGTAACCCTTAAAGAGGGAAATGGGTCAAATTACTATAAACAATCTAAAATGCTAATAGATTAACTCTTCGCTTTTGTCTTTAATATATATCTTCTTCCATGTACTTGTACACCCTGTATTACCAATTAAATAACAAAGTTAAAATAATAATTTTTTGAAAACTAAGAAAAATAATTGAATTTATAAGCAAAGATATAGAATTAAAACATTTTACTAGTATGGCAAGCAAAACATACAAATATCAAAATTCATAAAGCAATTTTTACATTCATCCAAGACCAAGGGAAGGAAGTAGACAAACACCAGTTAGTAATGTAATACATCAGATATTCACCATGCATAATTAGGAAAATAAAGAGTAAATAATACTCCCTCCCATTCTATTTGCTCTTCCACTCCGGAATCCTTTTGTGAGACAAAAAAAAGTCAAAAGTGGAAAGAACAACAAAAAAAGATCGGAGGGATAGTGAGATAAAATACATAATGAAACAATAGACAAAATAGAAATCATTTGTCATATGATTAAATATAGCCAAACAACTAATCTTATAACTTACCTTATTAAAAATGTAGTAAAAAGATAAAACTTCCAACTAAGTTTTCTGGACATGAGAGGCAAAGTAGAGTGTAGAAATTGGCCTGTAGAAAATAATCCATGTACATTATGATCTTTCAGACACTTTCACAGCCTAAGGTAAAACTTGGTAAGAAAGACAGGGAAATCAAAAATTACACTACGACTACCCTATGAAATACGATCAATTCATTGTCTAGAGTGCATTGTTAAACGTTAGAAATAGATACCCTTTAGAACTTAGAAGTGCAATCTTTTAAAAATGGTAGTGATGTGCAACCTTACAGGTATATTAATACATTCTTGATACAAAGAAGTAAGATAGTTGTATGACATGTATCCATAATTATCTAGGAAATCATTCTTGTTGGTAGCTCGAAAGACAACAAGATTTGGGTCGTTGCTCTTAATTATTATATAGAGCGAGTTATTTTGTTGATCCTAATTAATCTACCCACCTTTACTTACCTTAAGTCCATCATCACAGCTAGTCACAGACTCACAACAGCTATAGCTACAAGAACCATCATGCGGCAGAACACACACACAACCCAGAAAAAAAAAAGGAAAGAAATCAAAACAACGAAAACAAAGTAACTCATTAGCTCTATTTATATATAAATCACTAATTACATTATCACATTCCATCCACTCTCTATAAATATCCATTCTAAAGATTTATAGCTACAAGGTCAACAACCACAAGATTTTTAACTAGGCGTGCTTGGATTGAGGAAAATGTATTAATAGGGTAATAAAAGTCAAACTATGCAAAATGGAAGTAAATAGAGAAGAAGGTGATAGTGATGGTGAGCTTGTAAGAAAAATTATGTAGTGATCGTGAGGTATGAGGTGAAGAAAGAGGCTCATTTTAGGGGTAATAGATACAATAGGGAGAGGGTGTGTAACTATTACCCTCATTATGAGGGTAATAGTTCCTCCATTTCTCTCTTTTCCTCATGCAACAACTACCTTATGTCATTTGTAAACATCATACCTCCTATAATAACACCTCTAATTACTTATGTTTTTTCAAGTTTGACTTTTATTAACACCTTAATATATTACCCCCAATCCAAGCATGCTTAAGGAATGATATTTAGTTCAATTTTATAAGTAGACAACTTAAAATAAACGCAGCAATAAAAAAAATGTTCACATCTTAGGCTATACCTCGGTGATCTGACTCTTTAGAAGACTCTTTGGGATTAGATTACTACCATTGCTAAGGCTACTAACTTCAATCTTTAATAGACACACTCATCTATTTTTGTCGATTGACTTTCATATTCAAAATAAATCATGACTAGTTGTAGTGAAACAAGTTTAGTTTGAATTTCAATCTTATAAAGGTGTAATTTAGCTACTTTTATAACTCACCTTGTTTTTTACACTGACATCAATCATTGAGATGAAAAAACGTTATTTCTAAAAATTTAAAGGGTCTTAGAAATCACTTTTCTTATTAAAATAGACTATGGCTTAATCTTTTAACCTTTAAAAACTTTCAGGAACTTATATTAAGTTCAGATAATTTGAGGTTGCAATCAATATTATTCCCTGCACATTACTCCCCTCCATGCCCCTTCCCTGCACACTATTCCTTGCCCTTCCCCCTTACCTACACCACTGCACCCCTTCATGCCCCTTTCCCTGCACAGTACAATTTCAAATTGGAATTTCATATAACAATTCTAAAGCACAACCAAGTAATCGGCCAATACTCAAAGTTTAAGAGCTTAATTTCAATATAGCATTTGAATTATATCTAAAGTCCAACAATAAGTAAAATGCGGCAATAAGTGATCATCCTTAAGCAGGATGTTTTGTGAGTTTATGACACATGCTCTTTCTGACACAATCACAGCAAAACCCAGTGCCTTGAACAACACTAGTAAAGCTGCATATGATTATACTCCATCATTAAAATCATGAGTATCAAAACTATAATTTCATATTAGAATTCCCGATTGCAAGCAAATCAAACCATCACTTCATATCACAATTTCACACTGAAATTTCAAATTACAAATTCAAAAAGTGCAATCAAATTCATGAACAGAAACTATAAAAATAGGGCAATCGCAATTTCACGAATTTACATCCCAAATTGGAAAAAAAAAAAAAAAAAAAAAAACTGAGCAGTCATTTGGTTTTTCTTTCATGAATTTAAACAATCACAATTTCATACTATAATTTCTATCAAGATTATAATAAGAAATCGGGCAAGATATCAAAACTATCAAACAATTCACAAAGAGCAATTAAATCCGTGAAAAGAAACTTAATTAATATCAACTTACCGATGATAGAGTAAAAAAAATTCTGGCGATCGACAAAATCACGAAGAGCCACTGCTTGGTGGTAACTGTGGAGTTGAACCGCCGACCTCCGTTTAGTGGTGAGTAGAGAGAGAAGATATCATCGTTTATGGCTTTCTTCAATGAGAATTAGGAGAGAGAAGAGAAAGAAGTTAGGGTTTGACGTTTAATCTATCTAATTGGAAATTTGCAGATTTGGGGATAAGTTAATAGAAAAAAAAAAAAGGTGCGCTGGGTTTCGAACCCAGTACATTTGATTATAAAAACAAGGCATTTACTGCTAAATGTGTATGATAATTATTAATTAAGCATTTTTTAGAAAAAAATTGCATTAAATAATACGACCTTTGCTCCGTCCGCTAAAAACAAGTTGACCTTTTGTTTATTTCAAAATAATACGACCTTTAGGGGTACTCCGCTTTAAACAAGGTATGACCGGTTATTAACTTGATTAACAGGTTATATGGACACGTGTCATTGTTTGATTTGTTTGAAAATTTTATTTGTTTTTTAAATTTTTTTTTAATGTTTTTAATTTTTAAATGATTATTAATTTTTTTATTTTATTTTTTTAAAAAAATCCACCACAATCTTCCCCACCAACCACCAGCCACCGGCTGCCTCCCCTTTCCCCTTCCCCGGCGTCTGCTAGCACCCCTTCCCGCCCTCCGACGCCGGTCGCGCCCAGATCTCCCTCCTCCGGCGTCGACTCCACTCCCCAAGTTAGTCATTTCAAGGTGGGGCGTTTTATGGTGGGGTCAGGGTGGGGTACGTCGTTTCAGGGGTGGATGTCACTGGGGTAGGGTGTTTCGAGGGTGGGTGTTTCGGGGATGAGGTGGCTGGTCGTGGGTGTTTTGTGCTGGGGGTGGTCGGTTTTTAGGGAAAGAGTGGGGTGGCTGCCTGGGTTCTTGGCTGGAATCAATGAACGAAGGAGGGGAAGGGGAAAAGGATAAGGAAGGAGGAAAGGTGATGGAGTTGGTTCCGGCAAGGGGAGGGATTAGCTCCGGCAGGGGGAGGTGGGTCGGTCCGACAAGGGAAATGATCGGCGCTGGTGCCGTGGGAGGGGAGATCTAGGTGCGGCCGGCGCTGAGGGCTGGGTTGACAGGTTGCCAGGGAAGGGGAAGGTCGTCGGGGAGGGGGAAAGGGTGGCTGGTGGTGGAGGTGGGTATTTTTTTTTTTTAAGATTTTAATTATTTTAACTATTAATTAACCATAATTAAAGTTTTAATTAAGAGTTAATTAGAATATTAAACGAATTTATTGAAAATTTTAACCGGTTATTCAGGTTGTAGGTAAAATAACTTGTTTAAAGCGGAGTACCCCTAAAGGTCGTATTATTCTGAAATAAATAAAAGGTCAACTTGTTATTAGCGGGCGGGGTAAAGGTCGTATTATTTAATGCAAATTTTCCTTTTTTTTTATTTAATCTTTATTTTTTTAAAAAAAAAAAAAAAACCTACCCGAATTTTATCGGATCTCACCAAACTCATACTAGATCCGCTTGAAGAACTTAGCCTAACACGCCCTAGGTTTAAGATTTTAGTCTCTCCCAATTCTTTATACGGTCGTACCTCCTAAAACTTAGTGGGAAAATGGATTTAGCAAAAATTACTTTTCGAAACTGCGCTAAATTATACCTCATGAAATATATTTTTAAATTCAAATCGGTTTGAAAAATCACCTACCTAGGTAGAGACTTTTTTGTGATTAGCCTATAATCTTAAAATATTACACTCAAAGTTTCATATTCTAATCTAAAATTTTTTGGGATTTGTGAATTTTTAGATTTTTTTTTTTTTTTTTTTTTGGGTTGTGCTAATATTTTGGTGTTTAATTATACCTATACATAATTTTAATGTGGCACAAGTGTTTGAATGCAACAAGGGATAAGATACTTGTGGCACAAGTGTTTGTTTGTCACAAAATAGAATTATCTGTGGCACAAGTGACAATTTGCCACAAGAACAAATTACTCGTGGCATAAATGTGTGTTAGCCACGGGAAAATTATTTAGCAGTGACACAAGTTTCAATTAGCCACACATTTTTATTTTCTCGTGGCATAATATTTTGTTGTCCTTTAAGTTTACTGGTTGAATTTATTTTCCCGTGGCAAGATCAAATTATGTTACGAAATTTGAATTCCCATGGAATAATTCGTGGCACAAGTGGTGAAATGTTGTAGTGTACATTCTTAGGTGACAATTGTATTGTTGTTATCTTTTCCAGCAACATTTTCTAAACTTGTTACCTTAGGTAAAAGAAAAGTAACATTTTAGGTGATTATTGTCTTTAATGGTTTATAGCAACACTTTTTTAATTGTTGCACATGGATCTAGTAGTATTATTTTGGTTCATAGTAACATTTAATATTTGTTGCCTTAGGTTATCAAGGGTAATGGTTTTTTTAGTGTTGCAATTTTAGATGTTGCCTATTCTCATTATTTTTGTAGTGACGATATAAAAGAGGGTATGAAGAATTTACAATTTGCAACAACGATCGTAGCTCTACTAAAAGGAAGCTTTTATTTAATTCAATTGTCATGTATTTATTAATTTAAAATCTCTTTATAGATGTCGTATGACTTTTGATTTATGAATCAATCTTTAATAATAATAATAATAATAATAATAATAATAATAATAATAATAATAATAATAATAATAATAATAATAATAATAATAATAATAATGATGATGATGATGATGATGATAATAATAATAATAATAATAATAATAATAATAATAATAATAATATGAGTTAGTTGGCTCTATTATCGGGGTGGTTAATCTCTTTTTAGCTGGAAAGTGTCCTATGGAACTAGGAGAGTATATTGCTAGTGCTCCTCTTACACCACTTGTCAAGCCTGGTGGTGGTATTCGTCCTATAGCCGTGGTTATTGTTTAGCGGTTTCGAAGGTCGGTGCTGTTATGGTTGGCCAGTCTTTAGGGAGTTACTTTAATAGTCTCCAATTTTGTGTTAGAGTTTCTTCGGGAGGTGAGGCGATTCTTCATGCTGTGAATCGGTTGATTGAGGATTGTGGTTCCGATGTTGGTCTTTCTATGTTATTGGTGGATTTTCAAAATGCCTTCAATCTAATTGAACGTGCGGCCATGTTACGTGAAGTTCGTCATCGTTGTGCGGGCCTTTCGCGATGGGTTGAATTCTGCTACTCTAATCCAGCTAGATTGTATTACGGGGACCACACCTTATGGTCGTCTCAGGGGGTGCAGCAGGGTGATCCCATTGGTCCTCTGCTTTTTGCTTTGGTTTTACAACTCCTGGTGTGTAAAATGAGAGACACTTTTGATGTATGTCTTCGAGCTTGGTATTTGGATGACGGCACTGTTATTAGTGACACGTTGGTGGTGGGGAAGGTTCTGCAGTTGATTATGGAGGAAAGGCCTCGTCTTTGGTTACATCTTAACGTGGAAAAAACTGAAGTTTTCTGGCCTTTAGAAAACCCACGAAGCAGGCTTGTGGGTGTCTTTCCACCTAATATTGCTCGACCCTTGCGTGGTGTTAAGTTGCTTGGTGGTCCCGCTAATTCTAATTTCGATTTTGGAGGTAAGCTTGTGATGCAAAGGGTGACCAAGACCATTGCGCTTATGGATAGGGTTTCTAAGCTTGATGATCCTCAGTGTGAGCTGTTGTTGCTTAGGGCTTGTACTGGAGTTTCTAAACTCTACTTTGCATTGCGTACTTGTCCTCCTAGTACTTTTGAGGCGGCTCAGCGCACATTCAATGGGGCTCTTCGATCTTCCTTGGAGCGTATTGTTACTGCTTCAGGGCCTGGGTTTGGCGATTGGCAGTGGCGGCTTGCCACCTTGCCTTTTGCGTATGGTAGGCTTGGTGTTTATTCCGCAGGTGATGTTCGTCATTATGCTTTTCTTGCTTCGCGGTTACAATTTGCTGGGTTGCAGACAAGGCTTCTATGGCATGCTGGCGTTGTTGGCCTTGGTTGAGCCTTTGAGGATGCGTTGAGCTTGTTCAATAGAACGGTGGAGTCTGACATTATGAGTAATCTTAGTGAGGTTGCTGCCCTTAAACTCATAAAGAAATTGGAAAATATATATTTCACAAAGGTTACCGCTTCTGCAGAATCCGCCTTTTCTTTGTCTCCTCGGCAATCTACATTATGGAAATCGCAGCAGGGAGATCACACCTCTTCTTGGCTTCGGGCGGTCCCTATTTCTAGGTTGGGTCAGACGATGAACGCAAAGACCTACCGATGTGTGTTGTGCTAGTTTTTACTGGGGATATTTTAGGTGATCACGCGGTGTCGTGTGCTGGTATTGTGGGTATTAAACATTGGCATAATGTTGTTTGGGATACCCTTGTTGATATTTGCTACAAATCTGGGATTTCAGCAAGAAAGGAGGTTGACATAGGGTTGTTTGGAGGAAATGACAGGGCCCTCAGATCTGCAGATATGTTACTTTATTCATGGGATCGTGGTTGCGATGTATGTGTGGACTTAACAGGGTCTTCTCCTTTGACACAGACAGGACTATCTGACTTTGCTTCTGGACGGGTTGTGGCTGATGCGGCTCATCGGAAGCGGGTGAAGTATGAAGCTAGTTGTCGGCTGATTGGATATGGTTTCATTCCCTTCTCTTTTTCTTCGCTTGGAGAATTAGAGGAGGCTGTTGCGTTGCTGAAGCGGGTTCAGAGGTTCTCGACGACGCAAGACATTGGGGTTCGTGCTGCAGCTCATATCTTCACTAGGGTAGGCTTTGCTATAGCTAGAGGAGTGGGGGCCTAGATTGTATCTCAGCTTCCCACTAATTTATTGTAAGTCGTATGACTTTGTCTGTTTTTGAGATATAATAATAATAATAATAATAATAATAATAATAATAATAATAATAATAATAATAATAATAGTTATTATTATAAAATAATTATGAAAAATGTTATATGTAGCCCTAACGGCTATGTATAAGAAGTTAAAAGAGGAAAATATTAATAAAATATATTCATTAATTACACTGATTTGCGCGTAATTTTGTCATGCATTCCTAAACTTATACCAAAAAAGGAAAGATATTAAATGCTTATTTGTAGTCCTAAGGGCTGTGTATAGCATTACCCAATAATTATTATAGTCATCATAATAATAATAATAATTAATAGTAATTAATAATAAAAATTAATGTAATAATATTTAATAATATTGATCATATAATACTACGCTTGTTTCACATTAATTAAAATAAGAAAATTCTTTATATCTCACAAATAATACCCATTTGTTGCAATTAATGCAAAATAGAGGTAGTATTAATTATTATACATATATTATAATAATTGTACTAATATTAACATGGATCTTGCTAAAGAACTCTCGAGGCGTTAGATAAACATTTAAAATACTTCCTAAAGTGGTATGAATTTGGAAATGCATGACAAAATCACGTGCCGATCGGTATAATTAATGTTCATTTTAAGTTAATATTTCTACTTTTAGTTGTCTTATCCAATGCCCCGAGGACGTTCACCCCGGGGACGTTCGTTAGCTTTTACCTATTAATATTAATTATTAATAATTATTACTCCGTAATATTTAATTTTGTACGTATTTTAATTTAAATCATTATTTTATGAACCGTTTAAATAATTTGAAATGAATTATTTATGGTATTTTATTAATTTGAAAAAAATTATTTTAATTAAAGGTCCATTTTTATTTATTTAATGGTTTTGGAAATATTTTATTTTATTATTTAGAAACTTTGAGGCATATTATTTTATAAAAGGAAATTTAAAGTTAATGGTATTTAAAGAAAGTCAAATGACTAGTTTGAATAGGATAAGGGATCAGGGTAGAAAGGGAATTTAAGAATAGGAGGATTTTGAGAAGGGGGGGGGTATAAATACCCATCTTATAAGCAAGTTAGATCTTGCCCAAGATGGAGAATACCCAAAGGTAAACTCTCTCTCTCTCCTCTTTTTTTCTCTCCCTTAATTTCCCCCCCCCCCCTTCACGCACACACCCAAGGTGGCCGACCACCACCACCAACACCTACCGGCTATCCACCGCCACCAGCAGCAGCCGCTGGGGTGGAGGGCGGTAGCAGCCCCCTCCCCGTCATGTGGCTATGCAGCTTTCAACAACAACAAAAATAAAAAAAATAAAAAAATTTCTTTTTGTTTTAATGCTAATCTAGCCTTGATTTAATTATTTTTTTGGTTTGTGTGATAATTTTTATGATGTTTGATTATGATTATTATGTATATAAATTTCGGATTTGGTTTTTGAATTTAAAAGCCCCAAATTGAAAACCCTAGGTTTCTAAATTAATGTATATTGATGGAATTTGATTGTAGATGATTAATATTATTGAAATAGGTATTTTTAAACATAATTACAACAATTTTACATGTTTTTATAAAGCTGGAATTTTTATATAAAGATTAGAATTATGTTTCTTGAAAGGATTTTTAATTACCCATAAATTGGGAATAAAAGTAGGGGTTTTAAATTAATTTTCAGCTTGTTTTAGAGGGTTTATAAGTGATTTAAAGAGTATATATGTTGTTGGAAATTTATATTGAATAGGTATTAATGTCTCTTTGTAATTTTGGGTTGTAGGAGATTTCCAAGTGAGTGATTTCGTATAGTCGTGGCGATTTTGAGATCATATTCGAGGTACGGTCGCGTACTCGATAATTATTTAAGTGTATAGAAGCATGCTAGGCTTTGTTTAATTAATTCCAAGGTAGTATCATGATAGGTATTGGTTGGAATTGTTGATTGGATTGATGTTGGTGATTGATTTGTGAAGTATGAATTATTTGTGGTGAATTGGTGATCGGAATTAATTATGTTGGCATGTTGAATATGAACCACACTTTTATTATTGGCATGATTGAGAGCATGTTTAATTAAACTAAATATTTAATTGAGTTTGGAATATTGAAATACTAGGCACCAAAACATAATTTAAGTGTCTATGTACACGAGGATTAAATTATGTTTTGGTGCCTAGTGCACTTAAGGTGTTCTAAACACCGAGGGATAGGATTTGTAGTGCTTTATGCGCTTAAGGTGTTATTTAACACCGAGGTTGTAATACCCTGAAAATTATATCCTTTCAAAATACTCTTTTTACTCTAAATAAAACTCAATTTAGGAAATCTCCAAAATATTACTGCCACCGTGATAACGGCTAAGGCTATTTTCAAAGTCACACAACGAAAGACTGACTTTCAAAAACTCAAATAAAATAAAGTTTTATAAAACAAATTTAAACTTCAAACCAACGTACATCAAATCAATAAATTGGAACCATTAAAGGCCCTTTTTAAAACCAAACTAAAAATATCAAAACAATAATTAATGTTAGTGTCAACAATTTCATAAATAAATTAATACAATAAATAATAAACAAAGAAACATATAACCCTCTTCGCTCAATTCCATCATGCTTGATATGCTCCTTCTACCTGTACTTCTCTTTATTTCAACCTCACTACTCGCCATGTAAAATGGGTTATAATAGGGTCAATCCAAAGAAAAGTCAAACACAAACAACAAGTACGAATCAGCAAAAACTGAGTACATATGCACCAATAGGAATAATCACACTAACATGAATATCCTAACAATAGACAATAGATAAATAAAATAAATATATAAATAAATAAATAAAATATGCTTGCCATACAATACAAGTCAACTTACCTTTGACTCATGACTCTAGTTTAATTAATTAATAAATAATGTTGGATAACGCATCGAACTGGTTTCATTCCTTAAAAATAGCACATTAAAATATTGAGCTTCTAATTAGGGAGCTACCCCAATTGGCACCTACTATGTCACCTTGTGACGGAATTCCAGCGCATTAATAATAAATGAAAGTATAGCATCCTGTACCCCTGTAGAAGCAATGGTTAAATATAAAACCCCATAACTCCCCCCATATGTTCATACTCAAGGTATATACGTTCCAAGAGTTTTGGTGTGTATCCTCTTACACTTACGTGATTTACCAATTTAACTTGTGATGACTCTAACCAATCAATCAAGATAAACGTCACAACAATCATCAACACATACTTCAGTTTGTTTCTTGAATTAACTAGTGAGCACATACAATTTATTTTAATTAAGGTTCCTTGCCTAGTTTTGTGCATAAAATTGTTCGATTACTACCTTGGTGCATAAAATGCACTAATAACTTTCTTGACTCAATCTTAACTTATGTGAGTGAGTAATAAACTAACTTCTTGACTCGACCTCAACTTATGTGGGTGAGTAAATAAATAAACTAACTTTCTTGACTCAACTCCAATAATAAATGGGTGAGAATAAAATCATGAATCATGCTCAATAAATATAACTTTAGCTCTTTTCTATAAACATATTGCTAATTAAATGCATGTCTTCTTGATAATGAATAATAAATAATATACCATGATTCAATTACTTTCAACTTGTATCAAGCTCATAATAATCATTCCAACATATTCACATGCTTACATATAAGACATGGATAAATAATCAATCATTCCAAGTATCACACCAACAACTTAACATGATACTAATCTCATACTTGATACCAAATTTAATTGTCTAACATGGTACTACGCATAATTAACACATCCTACGCGCATACGTACCTTAAATCGTCTTTCCAACTAGCCACAATGCTAGAAATTACTCAACTTAAAGTCTCATACAATACCAAATACATAAACTCAAATACTCTCTTGATTACACAAATTTTCAGCAACTTTTAAACCCTTTAAAACCTCTCTAATAAGCTAAAATTTTGGTTTAAATTAAAGGCTTTAACTCTTTCTTTACGTGGGTAATTAAAACCACAAAGTAAAACTCAATTGTAGTGTTTATATAAAAATTCCAGCATACTTTTTAAGGTTTAAACCCCTCAAATAAATCTGAAAATTATATTAAAACCTTCTCTACTTATGGGTAATTAACCCCTTTTCATTAAAA